TGCTCTCGACAGCACGTATTCTAGCAACCGTTCGACTCGACCCAGTCGCCGGTAGCAACCAACTGACTGCAATCTCCGGACGCGGGCCGCGGGCAAACAAAAACTCCCGTTAACCGCCCACACGTCTAACCGGTTATGAACGCGCTGTATCGAACCGAGCGCCCTCCGGCGTCAAGTCTTGAAACCAACGTTTGGGTGTGAACACTTTCCTTAAAACAGGAAGTATTGATGTATGGTGATAATTCACAACGGTAGTGCAACATTTTTATAAATCGGAAATCATTTTGAAATTTTACTAACGTATTTTAAAATAAAAATTAGAAATCGGAAATAAATGGGTTTTTATTTTCTTAAATCTAAATATCACCTGGGTGGGTCATGACAGCCCTTCAAGTCCACAAGTCCACTGCTAAACATAGGCCTCGCTTAAGGAATGCCACAAAGCACGGTCCTGAGCCACCTGCATCAATCGACTTCCTGCATGTCTTACCTGGTTGTCACTTCATCTAGTGGGGGATACACTTCGCCTACCGATACGAGGCTGCCACTCGAGAACCTTTTTTCCCATCGGTTGTCGGTTTTTCGAGCTATATGGCCGGCCCATTGCCACTTCATCTTACAAATCCGTTGGGCTATGTCAGTCACTCTGGTTCTACTGCGGATATCCTCATTTCTAAGTTTATCATTCAGAGAAACCCTGAGCATAGCCCTCTCCATAGCTCGCTGAGCGACCTTAAGCTTCCTCATACGCCCAGCAGTGAAGGACCACGTATCATATCCATAAGTCGTCACTGGCAACACGCACTGGTTGTACAGTCTCGTTTTCAAGTTCAGAGGTATACCTGACGAGAAGATGTCTCTTAATTTCCCGAACGCTGCCCAGCCGAGTTAAATCCGTCGATTAACCTCTCGGTAGAAGTTGGATATACCTAGTCGGACTATTTGTCCTAGGTAAACATACTCGTCAACAACTTCGAGCTTAATGCTCCCAACAACTACCGGCATAGTTGTGACATGATCTTTGTTTTGTCCATGTTCATCTTAAGACCTAACCTTTTGGAAGGCACTATTGAGGTTATTGAGCATCGTGCTTAGGTCTTCCAGGGATTCTGTCATAAGGACTATATCGTCGGCAAATCTAAGTTGAGTGATGTACTCGCCGTTGATGTTAATACCGAATCCTTTCCAGTCCAGTAGCTTGAAAACGTTTTCCAATGCAGTGATGAAAAGTTTCGGGGATATAACGTCACCCTGTCTTACACCTCTCTGCAGTTGGATAGGTTTCGTACGAGGGCGGCACTGAAAATTTCGGGAATGAAGGAAGTGACACAACATTACTATTTAAAAATGTATTTATTGCTTTTCGTAGTATTCTCCGCGAAATTTGACACATTTTTCCATACGATGGAATCATTGAAGCAACCATTCCATTCGGAAGTTGGGGTCTCCAAAATGGCCGTTTTGTAGGCCTCCACAGCTTCTTCAGGTGATGAAAATCTCTGTCCACGCAATTTATTCTTTATTTTAGGGAAAGTATAGAAATCATTAGGGCTTAGGTCGGGGCTGTATGGCGGATTGTCTAATAATTCTATGTTTTCTTGCTCTAAAAACTCTTTTGTTCTGTGTGCGTTGTGAGAACTCACATTGTCGTGATGGAGGATGATGCGGCGGTTGCAGTTCTCTTTACGGACTTCAGACACGACCTGTGGCAAACAAATGCTAGCATACCATTCTGCATTAACCGTTATTTGTCCCTCAAGAGGAATAGTCGTAACATGGCCGGTTTTGGAGACAAACGTGGCCACCATTTTTTTTTTGCAACACTCCGTGAACGAACAATTTTTGTTGGCTTTAAGTCATTTTCGAACACCCAAACTCGTGACTGGTTTTTTGTTTCGGGTTCGTACTCGTATATCCAGGATTCGCATACAGCATTTGAGGATCCTGCGTGGAATCTTTCGAGAGTTCTGACGCACCAAGTAACGCGAGCCGCTTTTTGCTCTTCACAGAGCGAATGCGGTATCCATCGGGAAAACATTTTTTTTACACCTAATTGTTCATGCAAGATTATTTGTATTTGACTCATGCCAATGTCTAAAGTTGAATTTCGCGGTATGTCACATGTCTATCTTCCTCAATCAGCTTACGCACAGCATCAACGTTTTCTTAGGTGACTGCAGTTTTTGGACGACCTTAACGGGGATCATCACTGAGCTTGACACGTCCACGTTGAAATTCAGCGAACCAGCGATAAATTGTGGTTTTGAATGGGGCTTCATCACCAAATGCAGAAATCATCCGGTCAACACACTGTTTTTGTGTTAAACCACTTCGAAAGTCATAATAAATCATCGCTCTTGAATTTTCTCGAGTCAATTCCATTTTCTCAACGACTAAACAAGTTTGACAAAACCTTGTGACAAGATCGAGAATCTTTTTTTAAATAAATAAATGGTATTCGATTTTTAAAACCAAAGACTTTTCAATTAAAAAGATTTTAATATGACAGGAACAGTGGAAATATTCCATTCCCGATACTTTTAGTGCAGCCTATGTACTCTGGTTCTGTACTCCGATAGCCATCGTAGCGTGTTTGTACAGTCAAACACTTTAGCACTTCGTTTTGTAACATCTTATGTCTCAGTTTCTCTTTGTCGCCTCTTACGACACCCACGGGAAGATATGGGGTAGTGGGTATTCTTACCCGCCACTACACGGGGAAATCTGCTAGTAGCAAATAATTACTAAATAATTATAATTCAAAATGGCGACCATTTTTACAACGTTTCCAGTTATGATATGTTTAAATTTTTAAGTCTAGAGCTTATCGAAGAGTTAATTTAAAATGAATTTTAAAACTGAAAGCTAGTAAATAACTAGCGAGTAAAGAACTAAAAATAAAAATTAGAATATTTTAATGTAGCACCTGTAAAAGCATCGAATAGAAATAGGTTCGGACTATTGAGTGTTCTGGGATGTACATACTTATTTGTGGCACTATAGTATTAAAAACCATCCAAGAAAAAGAAAAAATCAAGAATCTTTTGATAAATTATAGAAAACTTCTTGATAAATTTATATCCAATACTTTTAAAAAAAAACGTATTGAAATGTCCAGAAATTTTTACAAAGAATTCTTATCAAAATTTTTTTTTTTCTTTTTATAAAGAATTCCATCAACAATGAAAGGGGAACGCCCACCGTTCATAGACACTTTGGCCATGGGTGCCCACATATAAAAGCATATGGAAATGATAATATGCAATTAAAAAAATGAAATGGTTAAGGAATTGGTTTAAAAAAAGTCCGGATTTTTAAGATATAAAGGGTTTTCATTTTCACAAGAACACTTTTTAACAACAAATAACTTCGTATTTTCGTGACATTTAAACTATAATTGATACACCGTAAATGTCCTCTTGAATGAGTTACTGAGAGCTGGGAAGAACTCTGGCCGGCGTGAAAGCTGGGGTCATCGTTAACAGTGGATATCGAGTCCAAGTTCGTGCAGAGGTTATCGTAAGAAGTGGCAGCGGGATTCATTTTCAAGCCGTGGTCAATAGGGTGAGAAGAATTATCGGAGTCCATTTAGAAAGCTTATTCGTTGTTTAGATTACAAATCTGCGAGAAAACAAACAAAATAACACTAATGCAAAGGAATTCGACTCATGACTATTTAGTTTTGATAATTATGACATGGGCCCAGCTGTCAGATTCGATGTTGCCAATTAACAGACATAAAATCGATAAATAAATAGCGAATTTTTTATCCGATTTATAATTTCATAAAAAAGAATATATATATATAAAATAATATAATATATAAAAAAGAAAGTCTTTGATTCGCTTTAAGATCTGCGCGTCTTTTAAAATATGTCTTGTTTTATTTATTTAAATTCCATTTTAAATGTATTTTTAAGAACAGATAAGAATAACAGTTAAAATGTGCAGTAGCGTTTTTGATATGGTATAAAGAGTTCATGGTTAATCAACTAGCACTTCGCTTGTTTAATTATCATAACATCATAATAATTATCGAAATATAATATCACCATTATAATAATGACACCAAAAAGAATCGATTGAAAAAACAAAATCGACATTTTTAACGAGATTTGTGACTGGCAACACTTTTTATTTTATCCACAAACTAATGACTTCCGGATTTACCTAATTTCTTTTTTATCTTTTCGGTACTTTTTTGTGCAAAAATATTGCAATCTTTTTTGGATACATAAATACCGCGATTAATTACCATAAAAAAGATGTATTTTTTTTACAAATACAAATTGTTGGGCGTTTCATGGCCAGAATTGGGCATTCCCCTTTAGAATGTCTTCTAACGGTTTTCTTCAGTCTATAACATTCCTATAACCAATCAGGTTCTTAAAAATCTTAATGCATTAAAATACGCAGGATCAGATCAGATTCCTTCAATTTTTATATAATATTCTTCAATATACGTTAGTAAAATTTCAAAACGATTATTGTTCCGATTTATAATAATGGTAATTCCACTTGCATTGTGAATTATCACCATATATTAAAACTTCCTGTTCTAGGGAAAGTGAGTCACTTTTCTTTCCAGTATTCTATTTGCAAGCTAAACATTCTACAGCATTTAGTCAGGTGATTGGATATTTCTTTATGAAGTCAAGTTTCACGTTCAACAATTGGAATTCTCGGATTTGTACAGATGTAATTTATACAGATTTAAGAAAGACATTCCGTAAAGTAGATTACTCTTTACACAGACTACTCATAATTTAAGTAGCTCGTTGTGGAATTGCGGGTAGTCTGCTGAATTGATGCTCCTCATATCTTGATAATCAATTATCAAGAGTACTTTTTACTTAATGGATACAAATCTGATAGATTTCCCGCACTCTCCGGGGCCCTTCAAGGCTCACACTTAGGACCTTATTCTGCAACATCTTTATCAATGACATTGTTACGTGTTTGCTTAAACAAAGTAATATAAAACATCATTGTCCGCGCAGCATAATACTGTGGCGCAAGTCGAACAAACTAGCGCTGCGGCTGCAGGTGGTGACGAGCGGAGAGGCGCAAGCGGGCGCGGCGGCGGGGGCGGTGCTGGCGCTGCAGTACCGCTACCGCAACGCCGTGCCGCCCGCCGCGCAGCCGCCGCGCGACCACACGCTGCACGCCGCGCTGCGCCTGCACCTGGGCCCCGTGTGCGGCTAGTGTGCGCACACACACACGCACACATACATACACACGAGCGCGCGTGCTATATATACAGACCTGTCAAACTGACGTCTCGCTTCACATTGCCTACTCTATAACTACGTTTTAAAAAATATACAAAAAAATACACAATATAATTAAATACTTTCATGTATACTGCTAGACCGGAAATTCAAGACAATAACGTTAACACGGTTTATATGCCACGCAGTTGTATTATCATTTACGATTGTTACTGTTTTAAGCAAATACGAAATAAAGTTATATACATATCCAATATTAACCTAAAATTACGTTGACAAAATGCGTACATAAATAATGACAACGTTTTCTTAGTCACATTAAAAAATCTGTTTTAGATTGTCGAAACCATCGTTCTAGTTCTAGCCTAGAGAATTAATATATAAATTTCTCACCTACTTACAACAAAATAGGTAATACGAAAATTTAACCGTAACTTAGTGCGCAATGTATTAAGGCCGCAGTGCCCGTCTAGTAGTATACATAGAAATCTTTGAATATATAAATTATTTATTTTTATTTAAATTGTTCTTCATTTTCTAGTGTAACCACATATTGTAGTACTTTTCTGAAAATAAAATAATAATCCTTGTATGGCAGTCGGAATCAACGTTTAGAAAATGAAGTTATCAATAAAGCAAATCATAATAGAACTGCATTCATTTCAATATAATATGCTTTTTCACCACATGAAAATGCTAGAGAAAGGTAACCTTATTTACTACGTTTGGTAGGCAAATTAGGTTATCTAATTTGTGACACTGACACGCTATTTATGTTCCACCAAATATAATTCATGGTTCATATAATTTATGCAACTCTAAAAATAAAAATTTAAATAAACAAAAAAAATAAAAAATAAATGTAAAAGTTCAATTATTCGAATATTTTTACAGATTATTGTGAATAATAACATAAATTTGAATCATCCAAACAATACGGAAACGTACCTAAGGAAATATCTTTGAAACAACGTCAACGAAAAAATTTGATACTGGTTAATTTTTTAAATTTTGCTTTATTTTAAATATTCGAATTTAAATAAGTGATAAAAACTATACATGTTACAATGAAATATTGACGACTTCATAATTTTTTGGATTTACGTAAAAGGTTATAAAGGTAATTTTAAATCATGTGAGTACGCTTGTACAAAGTTACTGCGGAATGAAATGATGATTAATGTGAAACGTCAAAATGTATTTCTTATATTTGGTTCTGGTGGTGCAAAAATTTAAAAAAATTTCACTGTCAGTTTCGACGGGAACTTGACCGCAAAGTTGCTAAATCTTATTTATTCTTCCGTGTTTTTTTTTAATATAACAATTTAAAGTAAATTTTGACAAATAAAAATGGTGCGACTTTGTGTATTAAATGTAAAATGAAATATATATATACATTTGGTGATATAAACCTCAAGTTATTTTGTCTATTTGTTAGTGATTGACTGTCTTTTGGGCTAAGCAGTTGCCGTAAAAACCACTCCCCGTTGTGATGCAATATTATGGAAAATTTTGTAATACTCATCTGACTAAACTGTATGGGTTTTGTCTAGAAATAATAAAAAAAATATGTGAATACCTACTTTAGAAGCCTTAGTATCTAAAAATAGCTAAGGGGGTGCCCATTAATACACATAATGAGGTGTTTAGCGGGAAGGGGTTCGAGTCGGAAATCACCCTATCTCACGTGGGGGAGAGGTAGGATCTCGGGAAATATCACTTAATATTTCTTACGCAAGAAACAGTAAAGTTTTCGTGATAATTAAGTTAAATATGGCTAAAACTTACACAAAAATATTTATCGCGGTTATGCGAACTCCAAAAATTAGATATTAAAATTATTAAGATTTTTTTTTTTAATAAACTCAACGCAATCAAGCACAGATTAAAGTATTTTCACTAAAGACACACATTTTAAAAATTCTCACGTGAGATTTGGAGAGGTCGAGATACATCTCACCAGGGAGAGTGGGAAGGTAGCAACATCTCCAAAATCGTCTCACGTAATTAAAGGTCGCCATCTAATTGTTATACTAACATGTACAAATGTACAATATCTTATTCTTTACATCAGTTAACTGTAACTAATATTATTTAAATTCGATTTCGTTTTTATTATGACAGCATTCCATTTAGCCTCGAAAGTAATACTACGAAAACAAAACTGCAATATGGAAATCAGTCTGGGAATGTATTTAACTTATGTAAAAGATTTCTGCGTCAGTTTGTTTTTCCTGACTATCCTGTATGGGCAGCTTCAATATAATATATTCTTAGAACGCATACCTTAAGTAACTCGCTTGTAATTAAAAAGAGTTGTATGAAATTCCACAACTGTTCTAAATGAAATCAAGATTTAGTATTACTAAATTATTTATTACATTTTTATATTAATTAGGTTTTAGAAATAATCTAGAATAAGTTTACGGTCTCACTATGTGCTTAAGCTTGAATACAGGTTGTTTCTTACGAGGCATTCTTTTTATTTATAAATTTATTTTAAAACCATTGTTATTATTATACCTACCAGTTTATTTATATCTAGCTTACCAGGCACACAGCTGAAACACGAGAAAAATTCCATTCCTTTCTGACAGTGCTTCAACAACATTATAGGATCTGTGCTCTCTAGGCCTGCACCCGAAAAAAAAATTGACTTCTGAGGGTAGTAATAAAAAATCGTACATTTTATCATTATTATTAACAACTTTGCAGCCTGCCTTTCACAAGTCTGTTGCTGACCATATTTCTCCCCACAAGCTGGCGTAAAACAAGTTTCTGAGACATCTGCATTCATTAACTCTGCATGTCTTAACAGATCGTCCAACAAAGCCCTGTCCGTACGAGGTTGGCACCCAAGAACCTATCTTTCAATATATCCTCAAAGATATCACAATATTTGTTATAGTTTGTCTGTAGGGAGACAGGCTTCCTTTACCTTTTCTACAGACTTCAAAAAGGAGCCGGTACTCAATACGAATGTATGTTTTTTTATGTGTGTTACCTCATAACTTTTTACTGGGTTAACCGATTTCGATGATTCTTTTTTGATTTTAAAGCTGCTTCTTCACATGTGGCCCCATATGATCTAGGTCTGACCAATCGTTTTTGAGTTATTCTTAATAATTTATATTGAAGTCGGTTATACAAAATGTTTAATTATTGTAATAAAAAAAGAGGTTGTATTGACAAGGCGTAACGTGGTGCGGTATTGATTGGTGGAGTGCAGGAGAGATACGTGCAACGGCTATCCTAATTGTCGTAAAGTTTGTGTTAAATGGACTTCACGTATATTTTACAAAAAATGCATTAAAAAGTCAAATAATTCATTTGAAAAGAAAATTGCGACTTTACATTTTATTTATTTTTTACTAACTATTATTTAATCTGTGCAATAGGTGTCCAATTCATCCCGCCATCTCCGTCTGGGGTCTGGGCCTACCTTTTTTATCACAATATAAAACAACAAAAAACTGACTGGAGAAATAAAAACCTTTATTAACATAAGAATAATCCGGAGACAGACAGGGTCAGTCACATATCAGCAGCAATTGGAAACTTTAACCATGTCAACGTGGCAATATCTTCATTGGGACCTAGCCAAATATAAGAAGGCAACGCTGCTCTTGCCAAACTGGTAGAACGACGCTACACTAATGGATCAGCTCGACTGTTTAAAAATCGTACAGAATACATGACATGAATTACATAAAGTAGGGTAAAAAAATGGCAATTTTTAAAAAAGGGAGCGGCAAGGGCGTATATACTTTTTGCAGGCATGTGTCACGACGGATGGATATTGTCGCTTTTGTGCTGTAACTTTTTTTTTCAGCAAGTAGAAGACTGTCAGCGTAAAGGTCTTCATGGTAACGCTTTGACCTCAAGGGGGATATATTGTAGCTTCTCATCAGTCTTCGTATAAAGGTCCTTGTTGGTCACCACCAAAAGCAGCTTTAAGAAGCAAGGAGAAGAATATCCCTAAAAGGGACAATACACAATGCTGTTGCATGCTTTTGTACATGTCGAATGGATCAATGCTTAGCCATCAAAGACTAAATACCCTTTCATGTCTTCATGAAATTATGAGATTGATGGTGGGCAACCAATTAGCTCGAGTACAGTGTATAGACCCAGTCTGATTACATTGTTTAAATTGAAAGCTTTAAGATCTATAACACTATGACGGTGGTAGAGCAACGCAGCAGTTTTTGCTGTTGAACGTATGGGCCAGCTCGAGCCGGGTTGGTACCACGAGCTCACAAAATACCGGCGTGAAGTAGGAGCTCTGCTTCTGCGTTTTGTCTGGTGAGTGCAGGTGGCCGGAGGCCCAATTCCCCCCCCCCCCCCCCAACAACATGGTAGCGGAATTACACAATAGACTACCCCAGGAGGGTACCAGTACCCCTGGAGAATCCCTCGCTGAGCATCCACGACCATGTTATTCCAATCCTGAGCGTGGGTGCTCAGGCTGCCCTGCGTATTCTGGGGTGGGCAAAATTCCGCTCAAAAACAACTGCTCGGGGCAAACTGAGCAACAATACCAAGGCGACCCCTGCCACCTATCCGTGAATTTCTGCAACATCAGGGGACTTCACTCTAACCTAAACGCCTTCCACTACCATCTCGAGACGGCGAAGCCGGCTTTGCTCTTTCTGACTGAGACGCAGGTTTCCTCTCCGGCTGATATTTCGTATCTCTCCTACCCGGGGTACAAATTGGAGCACTCCTTTGTGCCTCGGGCTGGAGTTTGCGTGTATGTCAGAGAGGACATCTGTTCTCGACGCCTCGGCAGTCTTGAAGGTTCGGACCTGTCCATCCTTTGGTTACGCGTAGACAGCGACGACCATCCGCGCGTCTACGGGTGCCTCTATAGGTCCCATAGCGGTAATGCCGAAACAGACCGAATCATCGACCACGTCCAAATGGCTACAGATTCCATGCTACAACAGGTCCCATCCGCAGAGATCGTGATCCTTGGCGATTTTAACGCCCACCACGCCGAATGGTTCGGTTCACGTCTAACCGATCATGCGGGGAGATCTGTTTATGACTTTGCATTGGCATATGGTCTGACACAACTGGTTACTTCGCCTACGCGGATTCCAGATGTGGAGGATCATACACCTTCCCTGTTGGACCTTCTGCTGACCTCTCATCCGGACGGATATCAGGTTTCCGTCGATGCCCCTCTCGGCTCTTCGGACCATTGTCTGATTCGGAGTGTGGTGCCACTCACGCTCCCCGCGCGGTTGCGTTTTGCAGGTTTTCGCCGTGTTTGGCATTACAGTTCGCCGGATTGGGACGGAATGCGGTCTTTCTTTGCTTCCTACCCATGGGGGTGGGTTTACTTCTCGCCGGATGATCCCAGCGCTGTTGCTGACTCTGTAACTGGTGTGGTGCTACAGGGAATGGAACTATTTATTCCATCATCTGTGGTACCCATCGGAGGCAGATCTCAGCCTTGGTTTGGTCGCTCCTGTAAGACTGCATTACGCAGTAAGCAGGAGTGTTATCAAGCCTGGGCTGCGGCTTCGGTGACTCGGGATGTAAACACCAGCACACTTAAAAAGAAGTATAACTTCGCCCCCAGGTCCTTCAAAAGAGTTATTGCCAAGGCAAAGTCAGAGCACATAGGCAGAATTGGCGAGAAACTAGATCGCCTTCCTTCGGGAACCCGTGCATTCTGGTCTCTCGCCAAGGCTGTCTTAGGGAATTTCTGTAAGCCATCACTACAATCTCTGCACAGGGAGGACGAATCACTGGCTCAAGACGCAAAAGACAAAGCCGACCTTTTAGGCTCCCTCTTTGCATCCATCCAACTCGACCCTTGATGACGGGGGGAAAACACCGCCGACCATCCCGCGGTGTGAGTGCTCCATGCCGGATGTGCTGTTCTCACAGCGCTCGGTTCGCAAAGCACTTCTCTCCCTGGACATCCAGAAGTCGAGTGGGCCTGACGGAATCCCCCCAATTGTGCTGAGGACGTGTGCTCCGGAGTTGGCACCGGTCCTAATGCGTCTTTTCCGGTACTCCTACTCCCAAGGCGTAGTCCCGAACTCATGGAAGACAGCTTTTCTCCATCCGATCCCTAAAAAAGGCGACCGCTCAGACCCGTCCAACTATAGGCCTATAGCAATCACCTCCTTGTTCTCCAAAATAATGGAATCCATTATTAACTGCCAGCTCATCCGGTACCTTGAGGATCACCAGCTGATTAGTGACCGCCAATACGGTTTTTGTCGGGGTTGATCAGCTGGTGATCTTCTGGTCTACCTGACCCATAGATGGGCGGAGGCAGTAGAGTCCAAGGGGGAGGCGTTGGCCGTTAGTCTGGACATTGCGAATGCCTTCGATCGGGTTTGGCATAAAGCGCTTCTTTCGAAGCTCCCTTCCTATGGGCTTCCCGAGAAATTGTGCAATTGAATCACCAGCTTCCTTGCAGATCGAAGCATCAAGGTCGTTGTAGACGGTGCATGTTCTGACTACAAGCCTATTAACGCTGGTGTTCCGCAAGGCTGTGTGCTATCACCAACGCTGTTTCTTCTGCATATCAATGATATGTTGCTAACTAGTAACATTCATTGCTATGCGGATGACAGCACTGGTGATGCTCTATACACCGGCCGAGCCAATATTTCTCGGGAAAACGTCGCCGAATACCCGAACAAACAAGAGTCACTGACACAAGAGTCTTTGCTGAACAAAGTCTCGGAGTGGGGGCGACTAAATCTAGTCCAGTTTAATCCTCAGAAGACACAAGTTTGCGCGTTAACCGCTAAAAAGAACCGCTTTGTCGTATCTCCTCAGTTTCAAGGCACTCTCCTTCTTGCCTCAGCCAGTATCGGTATCCTCGGAGTCGACATATCGAGTGACGTGCAGTTTCGTGGTCACTTGGAAGACAAGGCCAAATTGGCCTCTAAAAAGCTTGGCGTGCTCAGCAGAGCGGGACAGTATTTCATGCCGGCACACTGCCTGCAACTTTACAAGGCGCAGGTTCGGCCTCACATGGAATACTGTTCCCATCTCTGGGCAGGGGCTCCCCAGTGCCAGCTCCTTCCACTTGACCGCATCCAGCGCAGAGCGGCTCGAATCGTCGACGACCGAGCCCTTTCCGATCGGCTCGATTCATTGGCACTGCGAAGAGATGTTGCATCCCTTTGCATTTTCTTTCGCATCTACCATGGGGAGTGCTCTGAGTAATTGTTCGGATTAATCCCAGCCGCCAAATTTCACGAACGCACATCGCGGCAGAACTCCCGATACCATCCACACCATCTGGATGATTGGCGGTCCACCACTGTGCGATTTAGAAGATGTTTTCTTCCTCGCACGACTTCCTTGTGGAATCGATTACCATCAGCGATTTTTCCGGACCGATACGACTTAGGGACCTTCAAGAAAAGAGCGTACTCCTTTTTAAAAGGCCGGCAACGCATCTGCAATTCCCTACCTGGTGTTGCAGTTGTTCATGGGCGGCGGTAGTCACTTACCATCAGGTGAGCCGCATGCTCGTTTGCCCCCTCTCCTATAAAAAAAACTATAAGGAGCAGATTCTACTGTTCTTAAAATTGAAACAATATTACAGTCTATAAAAGTCTACTGGTGAACATAGACCTCCCACACAAATTGCCTTATAGGTCTTGCCATAGTTACCACGCTTGGCAGGCGCGTGAGCTACCATATTAGCGTAAAATAGCAGCTTAACGCTGCTGTGTTTCGTATGGTGAGTTTAGAGAACCGGAGACCCCTTTTACTGGCAAAGAGGCATTCCATCTTAGTCCTCATGGGTGACAACGCATCTGCATCTTGAGTCTTTATTGAGGATAGATGTAGATGTCTATGGGTCACAGGAACCACTTACCATCAGGTGAACTGTGTGCTCGTTTGTCACCCTATCCTATAAAAAAAAAAACATTTAAAAATCTGAAAAAGGAGCAAAGGACCTTAAATATTTTAATAATAAAAGTCATGTTTTTAAAATTTTACCCCAAATAAATGTTTGATTTAATTCCCAAGTAAGTAATTGTGGCACTATAAAAAAATTTGTACACTACACAGGATACCATTATTCAAGCTAATTAATTGTTTTTAATTTTTGTACAGAACTTTTGCTATAGGACCAACCATAAATATAAAATTATCAATAACCTACCAAACATTACGTATTTTATATTTAAAGCTTATTTCTTTTATTTGCAATTACTTTCGAGTAATTATTATATTTTATATAATTGAAGAATTATTTTTCACCTAACAATAATAACCACAAACAATTGTAAAGAATTACCTATAACATAAACTCATTGTCAAGTCTTAAAATTCTTTGAGTATTAAAATATTTATAACTGTAATTTACACAACAAGCCAAAAAAATCTCATCATAAAAATTAACATGTATATTATTTTAGCCCAGCTACATACTTAAAATATCCATTTAAAATCCCATTACCCTAGTCAGTTCCTAACTGGAAACAGTCAATGAATATATATTACGATTTCTCCCTTTTAAAATAATCAAATTCTATACACAAGGCAACAACCATTCTTAGATATGAACTAATTGATGAATAAATGTTTTCTATTAAAATATATTTGAAGCAACAGTAACCTAATGCTGTGCTAAAACAGTGCAGGCTGAAAACTCAATAGTTGTTGGTTTGCATCCCTCATTTAACTTCTGTTAAACCACTCCACTCCACTTACAATCACTTAAAATGCTTAAGCTTACATGGAGTGATTAATGGGCAATATTAGTAATGTAAATAACAAAGCTAGAAAAAAAAAATCTTTGGTTTCTTCAAAATGTGCTAAATACAACATTGAACTTGTGTTTTAGCAGAATAAATAACATCATTAATACCAACTCCATCATAACTGCTACCAACAAGGGAAATAGGGAGGTTGTGATCATGAATATACTGCCTTATCTGCTCTACTTTCTCATAATGCCCTATTATATACTGAGGAATGCACTTATTTAAAATTTTGACATTGTGAGCTGTTGGCTGCTCTTGAATATTTAAAATAGTAGCTACTTCACGCAGCGCTATATTAAATAATTCTTTTTCTGTTACATTTTCACCAAACTTTTCTTTAAACCACTTACCACCTAACATTACAGTTAAAACAGTGCCCTTTTGATCTGGAATACAGCAAGAGTCAAAAACAACACCTAGAATTGGGGAATTCTCTATTGGTGGCACCAAAAACCCAAATGCAGGGGATATAAGAGGTTTATCTGAATCAAAATAGAAGTTTACCAATCCAACAGTAACAAATGGTATATCTTTAAGATTTTGAGATAACTCTGGATGTTGTTTGACAACTAGATCAGCAAGAACATGTGACGGTATTGATGCATACACATGATTTGCCATAATTTCTTCACCAGTTTTCTTTTTTAATTTGACAGTGCTAGAATCTACAAACTTTATCTCGTCCACTTTACTGTTGAGTTGTACGTCAACGTTATTTTCCATGAGATGTTGAAGTAAAGAAGCAGGAAAATTATCTAGACCGCCTTTTATTGTGTAGACATTCCATTTCTCTTCCTGAGCTCTTCTAGCTAGTTCACTTAATTCTATATTGTTATCATTTTTTGTTTTAAACATTGACCTCATCAGACCTTTCATTACACCTCCATGGGTTTGTTCCCATTCAAAAGGTATTTTCATAAGGAATTTTACAGATATTTCCTTAGCATCCCCAGCACATATCCCACAAATCATGGGTGAAATGGCATAATCAGCTATCTCTTTGCCAAATCTTCGCTCAACGAAATTATAAATTGAATCATCTTTCAATTGTTTATAAGGGTTCCACAAATCATTAAATAGAGCATAAATGAGTGGTCTAGAGAATGGTTCATTTTTCTGAAAAATCCCTTTTAAGCTTGAAGGTAATAGATGCAAGGAGTTATTTGCATAAATCATTCTGTTTTTAGCAGCTGGATGATCAAATTTTATCGGATGTACATGTTCGCTGAGACCCAAGTCTTGTATCATGTTTAAGGTATTCAATCCGACCAATCCTTTCGGGCGAATAGTCCTCGGTCCCTGCTCGAAAATGTAGTCTTTCGTTTTGATTGACTTGATCCATCCTCCACAAGTATTTGTAGCTTCTAGTAATAATAATTTTAAGTTATTATTACTACATAGATTGTTTTTCAGGAGATAATAACCGGTAGATAAACCGCCTATACCTCCACCAAGAATAGCTGCCATTACGATAATTTATTGAAGATAATCTTAGTCATCATCGCTTTAACAGAACTTGTGTAATATGATGTTTTTATTATTAAAACTATTTTTGGATTTAAGTTTCACTTCCAATAATTCTATTGTTTTGATGTTTTGAAAATGAATGACTTATTGACTTATAGTGGAGAGGACATCACATTGACATGTCTTGCTCTTGTGACAGCTGACAGCTTCGAGTAGAGGTGGGTGATGCAAAGTGCAAACCGTATACTGATACGAAATCTATATATTGGTACAATATCTAAAAACCGCTTACTGATTCGTTTCAAAACTATATATTATAAAATCTGATATTTGCGTACCGCCGCGATGTCTATATCGCTTCGCATCGGTCGGTAGCTAGATTCGCCGTGTGCGACGGAGCGCGAGCGTTATAGGTATTATACTGGTTCGTTCGAAAACTATGTATTACAAAATCTGATATTTGCGTGCCGCCGCGATGCCTAAATCGTTTCGCATCGGTCGGTGGCTAGATTCGCTGTGTGCGACAGAGTGCGAGCGATATGGATATTAGATTAGACATGGTGGAAAATTAAAGTCGTAAAAAGTACTAAAATCTTATATTTGTACACTACACTAAATAATAAAAAAAAACAATGTCAGTCAAACAAATGATATCTTAATTAACTTCCCTAGTAATTATTTTTTCAATTTTTTATATAAATCCCTTGTAATATTTTGATGAAAATGTAAACTAAACAAAATAATATTAAACTGGCGCGCTTTAAACAGGTGTATAAAGTAAGTAATATTTTATTAAATCTTGGTTTAAATTTATTCTAATTTAATTTAAAAGAAATTAAAATAAAATTAGAATTTTCAAATATTTCTGCTGTTCGCGTGCCAGGCCATTTGCGAACTTATATGCCCCGTATAAGCACAGAAATAGGGTGGATAGGCGTCGGGTCAGGTGGCCGTAGGTCTCCCTCTTTGGGGTGCTTCGGGCCTCACGTTTTTTAATCGCTTAAAACATTTAAGCATCCTCTGCGTGTATACTCTGTACACAATTTTTTTGTTTAATTACTTAATGTACCTAATTATTAAGATCATATAAATATTATTTCCAAAAAAGAATAACTAACTCTAACCGACCTTTATGAAGATTAAGTTAGTAAAATAAAATCAAAATTGTTTCATAGGTTTTTTAGAATTCCGAAAATCTCAAACATTGATAAGTACATACATACGGGTCTAATACAGAACTTTCTTTATTGAAGTCGGTAGGTTCTTTATATAATATATCTACAAAAAAAGATCCGCTCAAAAAAGGATATTAAGAAATCCCAACGGTATCTTTTTAAATTGGTTTTCACGTGGCCGAAGTCGCGAGAATCGGCTATTTAATTTGTTAACATTTGTATACCTACATAAATACGTGATTTACAGTCATCGATATATATGTAGGTAAAGCAAATTGTACTAAATTGACTTAACCGAAATCTAGTTCATAACTTTAAAATGATAATGTTAAAACTACTACTATATCTGCATTAGCTCCAAGAAGATAACATAATTTACATTTACTCTAAAACTATATATCTAATACAATACTGATTCGTATCGAATAGGTAAGAGTAACTATAAAATCTTCGTATCGGATTTCAACAGCGTATCGGATATTGTTTAGGCAAGAATATTTATTTTTATTATTTACCTTCGAAACGTATTCTAACGCGCGCGCTTGGCCTCGATATCGAGGTCACCTCCCCCTCCCCCCGGCCGCCTGACGCGGCGGGATAGGACTTTTCGAGAATTAGTGTAGAATTTCTTGCGAGCTAGACTGACGTTTTTTCCGCTCCTAACTTGTTGAGAAAGTATCAACCCGCGTAAATCGCTGTGAGAACCGTATCGTTCATCAGGAACTACTAACTCCGTTAAATTCATTGTGCAATCATTATAGTGATTTACCTCTGAAGTACTACGTGTAGCTGTCCCATTTCGTGACAATCCAGGAAGAGTGCCTCCAGAGGGGGAAAGTTCCGAAGATACCAGCGCATACATTCTTCCGGACGGCATTGCGTCATCCAGATCAGGGCCCGTCAACATACACGCACATACAATTACACATACACTCACGACACTGTCATCAGCCGGGCCGGTCTCGGAGGGTCGTCTCCGCTCCTGGAGCAGGTGAGTGCCTTATCGTATTGACATTTCCCCTCTTTGTTTCCATCAGAAATTTCCACGTGGCCACAATGAGCCCGACCTACGTCTGCTCGGGAAGTCTTCAGCTCATGGGCCCCTGAGGATCTGATCCTTTAAGGGAGCAGCCGTAGGCCGTAACAAACTGGTAGCAGAACGCGGTTCCGGGTTCGATTCCCGGTCGATCCCGACCATAGTGTTGATAAACATTAAACAATTCTGGTGGCAGGGAGCGTTGGTTTGATTGGTTTAATTTGTATCTACAATCACGCCCGTCCGTAATACGTAAAAATATTTTTTGTACGTAATAATAGAATTATTTCCCTTTGTTGTTTGTTGCTTGCCTTTTTTTTCGTTAGTAGGTAGTTTGAAAACCCGCGCCCTAGGTTGCGCAAGCGGGAGTTTTTCTAGAGATATACGTCATGTAGGTAGATGGTTATTTTTACGTAATCGGTTAATTATCGTTGTAGGATAGTTGTAGTGGATTACTTATCGATTTCTGAATTTCGAAGTATCTTCGTTTATACTGTAATTTGTAATTGAACTAAAGAGTAGTAATTGTATTTGCGCAATTTGAATTTAACTTGATTTGACCGTACTAGGGTTGTTACGTGCTAATTTGATTCGTGTTTTTTCGTATTTACTTGTAGTTTGATTGATATTATCGTATTAGTAGTACTGTATTCGTTATTTCTTTTATTTTGTTATTAGTATTCTTTTTGTATTGTATTTAGTATGCCATCACATAAGCTACTAATTCGTTTCTTGCGGACTGAGCTACGCTGGGCCACCAGCGCACACGCATTGATAGGCCGACCGGACAGGGTCTATAATCTGAGGAAGAGGCTCGAGCAGGTCGATGCTCGAAGGGCTGCCGTGGAGGAGGCTTACTCTGAGCTCGAGGACTCGGAGGTGGAAAAGGGAGTCCTGGACTCCTGCCGCGCGGACTACGAGCAGTTCCTCGCGCTAACGGACGACCTGATCGAGGCGGGGGCCAAGGACGCGGAGAGGGAGCGCGAAGCTCGGCTGACCTTCTCGAGTTCCCGCGGAAGCCGCCTACTCAGCCAGAGCTGCTAGGACGACTCCCCACGCTGGACCTGCCGAGGTTCTCCGGGGTCCTCTCGGAGTGGCTGACCTTCGTCGGCATGTTTGACAGCCTGGTGGACGCCCGGAGGGACCTGACCCCCTGCCAAAAAATGGGGTACCTCCTGGCATCACTGGAGGGGGAGGCCCGGGGCGTCGTCGGCCACCTTAAGTTGTCGGACGACGCCTACCAAAACGCCAGGGACCTCCTCGCTGGAAGGTACGCCAACGTCCGGTGGATTGCGGACGATCATGTTCGGAGGCTGCTGAACCTCCCGCTGCTGAAGGACCGGACTAGACTACGTGAAGACATAGTGAATCCAGTCGTCGTAGCGTGCAACTCGTTGCGGCGGCTGGATTTACCTGTGGACGAGTGGTCTTTTCTGCTCCTTCATATAGTGCTGTCCCGTCTGCCCCTCGACCTTCAGCTCCATTTTGAGGAGAGGTACGGAGGGGATGGCGCTTCGTACATGCTCCCCTTTAGGGACCTGCTGCGGTTCCTAGAGGAGCAGTGTAGGCAGCTGGAGAACGCAGCAGGCGCCGTCGAGGCCCCCCCGGCCGCCTCCCGAGCGGTGCCCAGGGAGAGGCGGAATCAGCCGGCCAAGGCGGCGCCCACCCCCCTGAGGCCGAGCGGAGCCCCCGCGGGAGGGCGCCCCCCAGTACCCTCCTATAGTGGCCTAGCGAACCGGGAGGCGCCTCCCTGCTCCGATTGTCGAGCATCCAACCACCGGGCGGCGTCGTGCCCGAAGTTGTTGCGCAAGCCGACTACGGCGAGGCGAACCATCGCCAGGGAGCGCCGCTGGTGCTTCTCGTGCCTGGAGAGCATTTACAACGAGACTGCCCGCACCAGCGGCCCTGCACGCACTGCCAGGGTAACCACCACGTCATATTGTGCCTGGGTGCGCGCGGCTCGTCCTCTCAAGGCCCTGACAGCCCCCCGACTCCCACGGGCGGGGGCGCCCAGCCACGCCCACTGTCGGGCAACGCCCGGCGCTCACCGGTGGAGCACAGCGCCCCTCGTTCTGAGGGGAGTCCCTCCCCCGATCGGTCTAGGAGTCGTTCCCCCAGGGGCGGGGGGGTCTTCACCCCCCCCCCCCTCAGCGAGTTGATAGTGGATTCGCAGCCACTCAGCGGTCAACTAGACCGTTCTCACCCCCGTTAGCTGAGTGGCCGCGACTGGAACGCCGCCCGCCCCCCTTTGGTCGGTGCCGGTACTACCGGGTTCCGGAGACTGCTTATCGGCCCCGGGCCTTGGAGCCGAGGATCCCCGAGTTTCCCCAGGTCGGCCCGTTCGGGGAATTCCAGTCAAGGGTCATCGAGACGCCGTCGGAGTGCCGCTCTCGGGGGCCCCGGTTCGGGTGCCGGTCCAACAGAGGCAGCTCCAGATTGGAGGCTGCCGCCCTAGCTCCCGCCATGGCCGCCTCCACTGAGCCTATAAGTCGTCAGCAGTCCACCTGTCAAACTGTTCTATTGCCGACGGCCTCAGTGAAGGTTTACAACCCGAGCGGCGACCGCTTAACGGTTCGAGCTCTATTGGATTCGGGTTCCCAACGTAGTGTGGCCTCTACTCGGTTGGTGGGAAGACTGGGGCTCCCCTGGAGCTCTGATTCACGTCCGATGGTAGGTATCGGAGATGCCGAGCCTCCTGCTCCTAGGGGACAAGCGGAGTTGGTGTTCAGCCCTGACAGCGAACACCTTCGTATTTTAGTCAAAGTAAATGTCCTCGACGACATTGTAGG